GTTACAAGACGTGAGGAAGAAGGAGGGGTGTTACAAGCCCTCTCATGTTGCTATTCTCGAGTCGCTTATCCCTTTCTTCCTCCCTTCACTCGATCTCGTGAGATCTGATGGGATCAGTGACAGGTAACAAAAATATAGAATCGAAACAAATAGTGAGATCTCTCGACTTTTAATAGTTTTCTCTAGCTTGCTCGAGAAATTCCTTCAAAAAAATTTCGGCTTCAATTCACTTCAAGTGTCACGTGCTCCAATTTACAAAACTACCCCTTAATAATAGAAATAAAAAGATATTGATGATTGAAATTGAAATGGTCAACTCAACAAACAATTTTAAATAATATTAAGAGAGAAATTTCTTTCATTAGAATATTTAAAACCATAATTCCCTTTGAAGTTTGTTTTAATAAAATATTTGACTTTTTATTTATATAAATTAAAAAAAAATGGCTTTCCTTTTCCATGCTTGAATTAAAAACATTTCCCCATACAATATAAATTTGATCAAATATAAAAATAAAGAACATGTCTCATCATGTTGAATTTTGTTAATATAATCATACTCTAAATAATTAATTCCATTAATTCAATAAATGTACTCAATTAATTTAAAAATAATAATTATTAATCGAAGAATTTAATTTATTTTCTAAAAATTACACTATTCGATCTCTTTGTACATAAATTTTTTATTTTTCTTCTAAAAAGTTTTCATGATGTTCGAATCATATATATAATAAAATATTCAAATAAATTGAGCTATGTTCAAATTGTAACATCATTAAAAAAAACATCTTATGTTTTGAATTATGAAATCGACGTCACCCTATTTTTATTTGAATTGATATGTTACCTAACATGCATTTGGTCACATAGTAGGTGAGAAAGACCAAAGTATGGGCCATAAAAAATATAGCCCAACAAACTATATTTCCTTATAATAAAATTTTATTATATAGTTTGGTATTATATTTCAATTAGACACAAAATTACATAGTCGAGTTATATTCAAATATTAAATTGTATTTAATTAAAAGAATTACATGACTTTTTTATTGACAGTAGTGATAGCTTAACCAGCAATTTGAAAAAATGTAATTAGATCGAACGATTCAACGTCACCGTCATAAAATTAAAAAGTCAACCAATATCTCGAGCATACCAATTGAATATTATTAAACTTTTCAATAATTTTTTTTATTTTTTCGCTGTGTTTTCAAAAATATTTATTGACGCATTATTTTTACATGATAAAATATACAAAATTTAGTCTCTTTTACGTTGGTCGTTGATATTTTTAAAATTACATTTTCATCCTTAATCTTTTTAAAATTCTTAGTTAATTCATTTAAATTTTTGTTAAAGTTTAAAAGATAAAGTAATTGACTATGCAAACATGTTACTTAGATGTTTGATATATGGGACTCAACTTATTCATATTTACAAATTTGACCCATCCAACTGAATATGTAAATTAGTAACTTAACAAGGACCAATTTGAAAATAACCTAAATATTGGGTCTAAGCCCAATTGATCGGGCCCAAGATCCTTACGCTAAAAAAAATAATAATAATAATAATATTTTTAAAAAAACATATTTTAAAAATATTCACGGGCTTTTAAAAGCAACAATAAAAAAAAATTAAAAATAATTTATATAGTACCGATAAATAGTTTTCGTTAAAATATTAATGGTAAAAATATTTTTTGAATTTATTTTTTACAGAGGTAAAATATGTTAATTTACTTTTAAAATTTTTAAATATTGTAAGTAAAAATATTTTTAAAAAATTAAAAAATTTATATATATAACATTTTTTGAATTTATTTTTTAAGTAAAAATATTTTAAAAAATTAAAAAAAAAACTATATATATATATATAGTTTTTTTTTTTTTTTGGACAAATACAAAATTGTGTGGGTGTTTTTGTTCTAGAAAAAGTTTGAAAATCACAACACGAGCATCAATACGGCGCCGTATTTCGAGATATTTTCGAGTTTTGATCAACTGTTGATGAAGGCTCGAAGCAGAACAAAGCAACAAAAATGGCAATGTTTGACAAATTGCTCTCACAGGAAGCTTGAAACTCGGCGGAAAAAGAGCATTCTAATTGGAAAATGGTGCAGATTCTTCTCCATTCATCAGCCTCATTTCTTCTCCAATGCTGTTCTTCTCCTCCTACCTCCTCCAGGTACCATAATTTTCCATATTCTTCATCTTGTCTCCATTAATCTTTGCAGTTTCTGGTGTTTTAGAGGGAGGTTGGATTTGTGTTTAGTTCTGCTTTTTATTTGTCTGAGTTCGTTTTTAATTGTAATTGTATTCGTGTTTTTCGGGAATTTGTGTTGGCATTCGGAAATTTCGAACCAGGTTCTGGATTGTTGGACTGTAATTTGATCTAGAATATACAGGTTTAATACAAGAATTTGAAGTTATTTCTTAGGTTTTGAAAATGAGAAGTGAATTTTTATTTAGAACTGTGGTTGCATTCAGTAGGGTGATCAAATTCATTGATTACAGACGGTTTTGTGAGATCCCATGAAGAGTGGAACAAAGCATTCCATACTAGGGTGTGGAAACTTCTCCCTAGTAGATGCTTTCTAAAACCGTGAGGCCGACGGCGATACATAGCGGGCTAAAGCGGACAATATCTACTAGTGGTAGGCTTTGGCCGTTACAAATGGTATTAGAGTTAGACACCGGGCGGTGTGCCAGCGAAGACGCTAAGCCTCCAATGGGGGTGGATTGTGAGATCCCACATCGGTTGGAGAGGAGAACAAAACATTTTTATAAGGGCGTGGAAACTTCTCTCTAGTAGACAATATGTAACGGGTCAAAGCGGACAATATCTACTAGCGGCAGCCTTGAACTGTTACAGTTTATTATTCGAGTTTGATGTGCAGCTGATATTAGTGATGGAATTGGACACATGATCTAGGAAGTTCAAACCGATACGTTGGATAACTTAGTTACTTGTGATTGTGATAGCAATGAAATGCTTGTTTGTTTATGTTACTTTCGATTCTCTCAGCATTCTGATCATGACTGTTGGTTCAAACAAATTGATGATCCATTCTATCAGCTACTGATTCGTTTCTCGAATTCTTTTTTTCAAATGGTTTGTGTTCTTTTTTCTCATACAGGGGAATGCATAGCAAAGTAATATTGAAAAACAATATTGAGCAACCTCCTCTAAGAAAGCTTGTGTCCCAGCATGTACTATCTGGATTTGCTGCTTCATTGATATTCCTCACTCAACCAAACCAGGTTAGTCAATGGAAGATGTTATTATAAGAATAACATTAGCATAGTAGTCACGATTCCGCTTAAAAGCTTCGATTCCATGAGATTCAGTCCAGTTGATTCATACTATATATATGGGTCCTTTATGTGCAATATGTTAGGAATCACGACTCTCCACAATAGTATGATATTATCCACTTTGAGCATAAGATCTCATTGGCTTTGCTTTGGGCTTCCCTAAAAGGTCTCGTACCAATGGAGATGTATTCCTTACTTTTATAAACCCATGATCATTCCCTATATTAGCCAATGTGGGATTCCCCCCAACAATCCTTGGCACAATAATAGTTTCGAATGCTTGAAGATATAAATGATGTGATGAACTTTATGTATAGAACCAAAGCGTCCTGTCTCTTACACTGGTTTCTTGATCAGGCTATCTCAGCCGATCTATCTCGTCACGAAAACTTTTACCATCTTGCAAGTGCAGAGAGTACTGCAAGCCTTCCGTTTGAGAGTGATTCTGATGGAGGGAGATTGATGATGATGAGAGGGATGACAGCAAAAAATTTCGATCCTGTTAGGTACTCCGGAAGATGGTTCGAAGTTGCTTCGCTTAAACGTGGATTTGCTGGACAAGGTCAGGAAGACTGCCACTGCACCCAGGTGAGCTTGACTGGTTGGTGTAGCTTATAGGCTTAGTTTCCCCATCTCTTGGAATTGGAACCAACCGATCGAATGATATATATGAACTTAATCTAACAGATCTATTCAAGAACTTAATCGCTCGTTCGAATGATGTTAATTATCAATCACTTGCAGTTCAACAGCCATATGATTCAGTTTAGTCAATTTAGTAATAGCAACCATACTTATGCAGGGTGTATACACGTTTGATATGGCGACACCGGCGATACAAGTAGATACCTTTTGTGTTCATGGAAGCCCGGACGGATATATAACTGGGATAAGAGGAAGAGTTCAGTGCCTTTCAGAGGAAGATCTACAAAAAAACGCAACCGAGCTGGAAAACCGGGAGATGATCAAGGAGAAATGTTACCTACGCTTTCCAACATTGCCATTTATCCCTAAGGAGCCGTATGATGTCATTGCAACTGATTATGACAACTTTGCTTTAGTTTCTGGTGCAAAAGACCTTAGTTTTGTTCAGGTAAATTTCAAATTGCTTATGTTCTTGAGTTTCGAAACATGATCAGCAGCAACTAAGCTGCCCATCTTCTATTTGAACTGTTTTGTTTGATTCTTTTGGACACAAAATCTAACAGATCTATTCAAGAACGCCGAACCCGGGACCCGAATTCATAGAGAAGTACAAGTCGTACTTGGCGAATTTCGGGTATGATCCAAGTAAAATCAAGGACACTCCTCAAGATTGTGAAGTAATGTCAAACAGTCAGCTAGCTGCAATGATGTCAATGTCTGGAATGCAACAGGCTTTGACAAACCAGTTTCCAGATCTTGGGCTAGATGCTCCTATTGCACTCAACCCCTTCACTAGTGTATTTGATACTTTCAAAAAGCTTTTAGAGCTCTATTTCAAGTAGTTTTGTGGCTCAGTTATTGAGCGCTCTGTGTTTATATGTCCAAGAAACTGATCATGATTCAATCCTCATTCATCATTGATGATTGATTTAAATGAAATTCAAGTAAAGGTGGGAAGCCTGTTGCTAGCATTTCGTTGGATATATCGATCATATTAGAGAAAACTCGAGAATAATATGAACAAAGATTCAGGTAGAGATAAAACGATTCGAACTTCTGACTTCATGATTGAATATTTGAACTAGTTGAACTATAAGTTGACGTCATACATGATTATCTGAACATGTCAAATAACAAAACCAAGCTAGCTTTCTTTTGAACCCACCCAGGCACGAGTTTGATGCGTTATAATGCAATCAACCGTCGACTTCGGGTCGATCGATGAGACTCACAGCCTCCCTTACAGATCCTTCTATACATCATTTGAAACCTTAAAACTACAAAGATTCTGATAGAAAGCAGCCTATAGGTCTGCAATGTTCATTGAAGAGTCAAGCAAAGGTTTCAGACAGCTTCGAAAACCCGAGTTTTCGGAGTCGACTTGATAGAGGACGGCTAGCCCAAGCTTTATCAGGGTTATTGCACTTTACGTCCACAATTGCAACTGCTCTAAGTCCTTTCCTTTCTGGTTTGTCTCTATAGCCATTTTCATTGGCATGAGTATCAGAACCAAGCATTGGTATCCGGTGGACATCCCTCGAACCAGCGGCCTTAGTAGTGTTATGAGAGTTCCCAAAGCTTCTGCTATTAACAGTACTATATCTTCTACCATTGTTTACCTCATCAAATGATTTGCTTTGTTGCAGTCTTTTAGGAATGGAAGCAGCAAATGAACTAGCTGAAGTAGCTGATGAAGATTTGTTTTTGGACGTGACCAACTTCTTGGGGCCGGATCTCATCGTCTCTAATTCCCTTGTCATCAACGAACTAATCGTTCCGGTCGCTCCAACCTTGATGGATCCTCCGCCACCTTTGGTAGATTGCAGTTTTAGAACCATGTTTTATGTCAGGTGAGCAAGTATCTCCCACGAGGAAGGAGGAACACCTTCGAGACTTGCCGTGAAAAACGACAAGGTTTCGAGTAATCTGACAGCCTGCTAGTGTATCTTCTCCTGAAAAAAAAGAGAGCGAATGATAAGAATTGATCGTAACGCAGGCGATCCTACTGATTAGAGCTGTGCGAGACTCGGTAACTCATGAGCGGATAAATTTATACTTGAAGTTAAAGCATGAAACCTGTGCTCTACTTGAAGATCAGAGACATCAATTTCATAATCAATCCACTAGAGAATCATACAGGGAGGAGAAAACCAGAAGACATAGGAACGGAAGGAGCAGAACGAGTATGTTCCTGAGTTGGGTTTAAAACGTCGTGAGACATTTCGGTTCATATCCGGTGTGGGCATACAAAGAGTGACGGTGACAGAATGGAATGGTTGAACTGTTTCTAGAAAAGCAAAAAGCTAACATGAAACAACAATGGGGAAGGCCCCTCATCCAGAAATGGGGGAGTTTTTTGCAAGGAAAAGATGGTAGAGGTTAGAAAAGCATTCACAAAAGGATCTATATCGAATCTATCAAACCTCTCATTAACGAACACAATTCACATCTCCTACCGAAACTCGAAATAGTTATAAACTCAAGCAAATGATGCAAATAACAAGGATCATTTTGTAACAGCTCAATCCTAGTCCTACCACTAGCAGATATTGTTCTCGGGCTTTCCCTTCTAGGTTTCATCTCAAAGTTTTAAAACGCATCTACTAGGGAGAGATTTTTACACCCTTATAAGGAATGCTTCGTTCCCTCTCGAACCGAAATGGGATCTCACACATTTTCACCGAAATAGGTAGGCGCCATTGCCAACAAAAGTGGCATCTATACATAGGAAGGAAGCCATATTTGCTATCCATAAGGCATTAGTTTCATGGGAAAACACCCTCCTGCCCCACACAATTGGTATCATTCCATTAAGATTAGGAGTTATCCACAAAAACGAAACCCACAATTGGTATCATTCCATTAAGCTTAAGGAGCCTCACTAAATACATCAACAGCCATAGCTAGCGAGCTTCAATCACCAATAAAGGTTACTCACCAAAACCATTCAAAAGATGTGCCAAAGAAGAAAGAATCAAGCCATAAATCACTTCACAAGAACAAAAGAAACCCCAAAAGAATCATAATCGATATCTATTAATCAACAGAAACTGAAAAAATCAAGAGAAAAAACACTTCACCGATCACGAGAGTGAGAAATAGAACAAACCCAGAAGAGAATATCAGCAAAATCCGCAGCCAAGAAGGGAAGAAAACGAAACGAACCACAAAAACAGGGGAAACCAGAGGTGGGTGTGTTCTTGAGTGATTGAGATCTCAAGTTGGTAGACACTAAAACGTGAACCTCACTGCAATTTTCGGCTCGAAAAAAGTTGGGTTATCCTCCTCGCTTTCGCCACCATTTTTATTTTCGTAATATCCATTTTTCCCATTTTTTGTAAATGTAAAAATTCATTTATTTATTTTTTTATTTTTTTAAATAAAGTAATAATAATTAGTTAATCATTCTTGTGGTTGATCTTTACATTATAATATAAGGTGAGCCAAATATATAGAGATTTCTCCAATAAATTTATGAAGTTCGAGCATGAATATGAACGTGGTTTCCACTTTCTATCCCCATTTTTGTTGTTGTTCTTCCTTATTTAACGCCTCCCATTATCAACAACTCCATTTGGCTTAGTGGGTCTTATGATTTTGGCATTAATCGGGTCATTTCTTGTAGAATTATCCATGAGAACTTTGAATCTTGCGGGAAAAAGCAGTTAAAACAGTCATATAGGTCTCGTTTTTGCTTTCAATTCGTAAGAGCTTCGTGGGTTTAGCCCTCATTTCAACTTTGATTGCTGACCCAATTCGAATCCTGCTAATTTTCTTCTTCTTGTTCCTTAACCTACATTGATGCTTTGAACGAGTCTCCGCCATTGTTGTTGTTCATCAAAATGAGTTCTCAAGCACCCAAGTCGTCGAAACCCTCAAAACCCCCAAATCAGTCGCCACCCATATCAAGATCCTCGGCTTCTTCTCTGTCATCCCATCTCGCCATGGTTGAACTCAAGCAAAGAATCCTCACTGCTCTCTCTAAGCTCTCCGATCGAGATACCCACCAGATCGCCATTGAAGACTTGGAGAAAATTATCCAGTCCATTTCCCCGGAAGCTATTCCTATGCTTCTCAATTGTCTCTATGACTCCTCTGCTGACCCTAAACCCGCTGTGAAGAAAGAGTCATTGCGGCTTCTAACGGTTGTTTGTGCTACTCATAGCGATTCTACTTCGACCCATTTGACTAAAATTATAGCCCACATTATAAGGAGGGTTAAGGATTCGGATTCTGGGGTGAAGGAGGCGTGTAGAGATGCCATTGGTGCACTGTCGGCGCAGTTCTTGAAAGAGGATAGCTCTGGTGGTGATAATGGCGGTCTTGGCTCTGTTGTTGCATTGTTTGTTAAACCTCTGTATGAGGCAATGGGAGAACAGAACAAGGTGGTTCAGTCTGGTGCTGCATTGTGTATGGCTAAGATGGTGGAGTGTGCGGCTAGTCCGCCCATCACGGCGTTTCAGAAGCTTTGCCCCAGGATCTGTAAGTTGCTCAACAATCCAAATTTTTTGGCAAAGGCTTCACTCCTTCCTGTGGTATCCAATCTATCACAGGTTCGTTTTACTCTGTGTAGAGTTGATTTTCTTGATGTTTGCATCATGGTATGATAAGTTAAGTTTAGATTCATGAAGAACTGATGATATTTAGAGGTGGGTGTTAGTATTTTGATAGTTAAGTTTAGATTCATGAAGAACTGATGATAGTCAGCAGCATGCTATTTAGAAACCTAGTTGAGTTTGATATCAAGATCTGTCACTTCAATGTGAAAAAGATGAACAAACTTGTAAACGTCCAAGCCCACCGCTTGTAGATATTGTTTGCTTTAGTCTATTATGTATCACTGTCAGCCTCACAATTTTAAAACGCGTATGTTAAGGAGAGGTTTCCACATACTTATAAAGAATGTTTCGTTCTCCTCTTCGACCGATGTGAAATCTCACAATCCATCCCCCTTGGGGCCTAGCGTCCTCACTGGCACACTGTTCAGTGTTTGCCTCTGATACCATTTGTAACCTTCCAAGCCCACTGCTAGTAGATATTGTCCGCTTTGGCCCGTTACGTATTGTTGTCAGCCTCATAGTTTTAAACCACGTCGGTTAGGGAGAGGTTTCTATACCCTTATAAGGAATGTTTCGTTCTCCTTTCCAACCGATGTGGGGATCTCACAGTCCACCCCCCTTGGGGCCTATAGCGTCCTTGCTGGCACACCGTTCGGTGTCTGGCTTTGATACCATTTGTAACAGTCCAAGCCCACTGCTAGTAGATATTGTCTGCTTTGTCCCATTACGTATCGCTATCAACCTCACAATTTTAAAACGCGTTTGTTAGGGAGAAGTTTCTATATCCTTATAAGGAATGTTTCGTTCTCCTCTCCAACCGATATGGGATCTCACAATACACCCCCATTGAGGCCCAACGTCCTTGCTAACACACCGCTCGGTGTCTGGCTCTGATACCATTTGTAACAGCCTAGGCCCACCGTCAGCAGATATTGTCTGCTTTGGCTTGTTACATATCGCTGTCAGCCTCACGGTTTTAAAACGCATCTGTTAGGGAGAGATTTTCACACCCTTAAAGAATGTTTCGTTCTCCTCTCCAACCGATGTGGGATTTCACAAAACTATCTATATTTTCACAAGAACAAAGAATCATGAACAGGCAAATATGATACTATTTACGGGAATAGGAGATAATGAGTAATCATGTAACTAAAGAGGCAAAAGAAAATTTACAAGAAACATGCTCATTCGAATATATCTACGTATGATGGATTGTTTATCTTATATTAGAAACCAATAATGAATTATGTTAATAGGGTTGTGGAACTTGTTTTAGGTTGGTGCTATTGGACAACAGAGCTTAGAACATTTGCTACCAAGCATTCATGAGTTGCTTGGGAGCACTGATTGGGCAACACGCAAGGCAGCAGCTGATGCACTAAGTGCTCTAGCATTGCATTCAAGCAATGTCATCACAGATGGAGGTGCCGCCACTTTGGCAGTACTTGAGGCCTGCCGTTTCGACAAGGTAACTTTTTACTTCCATTTGTGTTTTGTATAAAGCATCTCACTCACCCTGCTCTATCTCTGTTTAAGCTTTATTATATATGAACTTTTCAAATCTGTGTGTGGTGAGATGGAGAGGTTGAACTTGAAGCTTTTGGTCATATTTTAGTGGCTGCTTGACTGCTGTTTATAAAGATAAAGTTGAATTATTTGGATGATTGATATCAATGGCCTTTCTATGGGGTATTTGGTCCGAAAGCAATGACTGTGAGATCCCACATCGGTTGGGGGAGGAGAACGAAACATTCTTTATAAGGGTGTGGAAACCTCTCTCTAGCATACGCGTTTTAAAACTTTAAAGGGAAGCCCAAAGAGGACAATATCTGCTAGCGATGGACTTGGGCCGTTACAAATGATATCAGAGCCAGACACCAGGAGATGTGTCAGCGAGGAGGCTAAGCCCTGAAGGGAGTCCCACATCGATTGGAGAAGGGAACGAGTGTCAGTGAGAACGTTGGGCCCCGAAGGGGGGTGGATTATGAGATCCCACGTCGGTTGGGGAGGAGAATGAAACATTCTTTATAAGGGTGTGGAAACCTCTCCCTAGCATATGCGTTTTAAAACCTTGAGGGGAAGCCTAAAAGGGAAAGCTAAAAGAGGACAATATCTACTAGCGGTAGACTTAGGTCGTTACAATGACTGTTTCTGATGCTACTCATGTTTGGAATGAAATGAGGTTTACAGATCTCTTTGGTTCACATTTCGGGCGATTTTTTTCCCATGGCCCTGGTCATAAGAACTCGAGATATTCGAGGAAAGGTGCTCGAGGTTCTGGAAAAGGCGTTTAGAATATATATGATGTTCGAGTAATGGTACCCAGTTTATTATGACAGATAAAACCTGTTCGTGATAGCTTGACAGAAGCACTACAGCTATGGAAAAAACTTGGTGGGAAGACAGATGGAGCTGCAGAAATCCAGAATGCATCTCAAGGTGTACCTTATTTTTCCCTGGTCTCCTCTTACTCTTGTTCCATTTTGATGTGATTTTCTTGCCATAGATGTTTCAGATGGTGAAAATCATGAACGAGCGCAGTCATCAGAAAAGTCCGACCTTAAAAATGCAAATTCCCCGCAGGGAGCGAGGTCGCTGGACAAAGATAAACCCGAGGATTCCGTTCCCGTTACAAATTCAGCTTCGAAAACCAAATGCAGTAGTATTTCGGATAAAGCAGCTGTAATATTGAAGAAGAAAGTACCTGCTTTAACTGACAAAGAGTTGAATCCAGAGTTCTTTCAGAAACTTGAAACTAGAGGGTCCGGGGATTTGCCCGTGGAGGTGGTTCTTCCTCGGAGACACGCCAGTTCTTCGAACACAAATGATGAGAAATCGGAGTCGGATGATGCAAATGCTGGGAGAAGATCAAATCGTGTTGAAAACACGCACTCTGATGATTTTCAGAGAGCATTCAACAAGTTTCGAGTCTCCGAACGAGGCGAAACTGCTTCTCATGCTAAGCTGCAGGACTATGATAAGTGGCATGAGGGGAAAATAAATGGACGAGACG